CCTCCCAGCCAGGGCTTGGTCAAGCTGGGACTGAAACACCTCTAGGGATGGAGATTCCACCCCCTCCCTAGGGAACCCGTCCCAGGGCTTCCCCACCCACCTAGGGAAATCGTTTTTCCTAATATCCAACCTAGACCTCCCCCACTGCAACTTGAGCCCATTGCTCCCCGTTCTGTCATCTGCCCCCACTGAGAACAGCCTCTCTCCATCTTCTATGAACCCCCCACTCATAAGAACATAAGAACGGCCGTACCGCCACCTGCCACCACTGAGAACAGCCTCTCTCCAGCCTCTTTGGAACCCCCCTTTTCTGGAAGTTGAAGGCTGCTCTCAAATCCCCCCTCACTCTTCTCTTCTGCAGACTAAACAGACCCAACTCCCTCAGCCTCTCCTTGTAAGTCAATCAGGAAACTGCATTTTTTTTCACCCAGCTCCAGGAGGGGAGTGGGGTCTAGCGGTTACAACACGGGACTAGAACAGGGGTGGGCAATAAAATGGCAGTGGGTCACCAGGATTAGCCCCTGGCAGGCTGCCACTACAGTTACCTGTGCCTTCACAAGTACAGGTGATTGCAGCTCCCGTTGGCTACAGATTGCCGGCCCCAGCCAATGGGAGCTATGGGAAGTGGCACGGACTGGGACGCTGCTTCTTGCAGCTCCTATGGGCTGGGAATGGTGATCCGCAGCCAATGGGAGCTGCAATTGCCCATCCCTTCAGAGGCGCAGGTAAATATAGCAGTGGGGGCGAATTGTGTCTGGGCCATGGGCTGGTATTTGCCCTCCCCTGGATTAGAAGGAAGGATTCATGAGCTCTGGGAGCAGGCATGGGATTGAATTGTTAGAGCAGGGCTCTGTGAGTCAAGATTCCTTTCCCAGCTTAGGGAGAGAATGTTGTCTAGTGGTGAAAGCAGGCAACCTGGGGGCTTGGACTGCTGGTGTCCTTTTCTAGGTCTGGGAGGCAGGTCCATAGTAGATTGCTCATGGGGCCAGGAAGCCATGACTTTGGACAAGTCACTTGCCCATCAAGTGCCTCAGTTTCCCTGTCTGTAAAATGGAGATAATGAGACTGACCCCTTGGGAGCACCTTCCAGACATTCTTTTGGGCCCAAGGAGTTCATAGGCTAAGAAGCCTTGCAAGATCCTTGGATGAAATGTGCTCTCTCAGTGCAAAGGATAACAGAGTAATGCTGCCACACAATTATTAATAATAATTATTATTCCCACACCCCCCACTGGGCAATATCTGCTTTCACTCCCATGGGCCCGTCTGCACTACCCAGCACAGCAATGCTTAATGATTTTGGTTCATTCAGTTAAAATTAAATAACATCCTATAGGATACTTTAAAACCGTTCTCTCTTATTTGCGTAGGAGGTGGAATTCAGCCTGGTACCGAGTCCTGCACTCACCCCCATACTCCCTGTCTCTCTTGGGCTGGGTCCTGGGGATTGTCAGCCCTTGGATAATTTGCACCCTGCAAATTAGTGACTCTTTGGCGTCTAATTCCTTCTTGGCTGCTACTGAGCTATTAGCCTCAAGCACATCCTGCAGCAATGAGTTCCACTGGTGACCCAAAAGCGTGCTAGATGAAAAAAAAGCCGGGCAAAACCCTAGCTTGCTTTGCACAGGTGAGCTAGTGGGTGTGGAAAGGGTGTAGGAAGTGCCTCTGCACAAGCAGGACAGGAATGTGAGCTACAGCAACACTCGGGGCTCTGGCTGAGGCCCAGCAGTTCTACATCCCCAGAGATGTGGCTTCCTTTGCGCATTGTGCCATGAGCTGGCGCTGCCCCTGGGCCCATCCCCCCAAGCCATCCAGGACCCTCAGCTCGTCCACTCCGGACTGGTCTCACTCACTGAGCTAATGGGCTACGGCTGAGCCATTCACCTCTGCACCCCAGAGCAGGGACCCCTGCAGGTGAGGGGCACCTAAAAACCCACAGACCCCAGGGAGGCGGAGTCCCTGTCTATGGATTAGAGGCTCCCAGGGACTGGGCTCTCTCTTGTAGGCGGGAAGGAGGCAGCCGGGTGTTTCCCAGTTAATGTAACCGCCCCCCCGCACCCCCCACCTTTCCCTTCCAAGGCGCCTGCGAAAGGGACAACCACCACCTGGCGCTGCGTCCCATGTGATGAAGGGACGCTGCCACCTGGTGGCTGCCACAGGAACTGTCACCAGCTCCGCTCACCAGGGTCCCCTCCACCAATTCCTACCCTCCACGCTCAGAAGGGAGGTGTTCACAGCGCACACAAACCCGGCCGGCCATGTGTTTGGCTGCGGGGCGGGAGGGGGGATCTCTTGCAGAATAGGGGTAAGGAACAGCCATGCCAAAGGCAGGTCCCCCCCCTTCCTCCTGCAGCCGGGCAGACAAAGGCGCCAGACCTTCGGCATATTCAACAGGCCAAAAAAATTCAGTCTGGCTTAATTGAGGGGTGCAAGCAAAGATGCAGATTTCATCCCCTCTCCTCCACCCTGCGGGCCTGCCCCCTCCCCACTGGTATGGAGATACAAACAAGAGTTTTCTCCCTGGAAAAGGTGATGCTTTGCTGCCGAGAGGAACAGCTCCGAGGTGCAAGGAAAGGACAAGAGCGCGGTGCCAGCCTCCCGGCAGCGAGGGCTCTGCTACTGCTGGCACGGAGCAGCAAAGGCTTCCCCGGAGCGCCGCTGCTTTACGCCAGCTGAGGCTCTGCCCCACGCCCTTCGCCAAAGCTCCTCTCGTTTCCACCTGCAGAGGGCCGGGCCCACAGGCCGCCTCTCAGCCCCTTGTGCTCGCTCTCTCCGAAGTGCTCTGTCTGGCCCGAGCCCAAACCCCCCCCAGCCAGTAATGCCAGGAGGCGAGCAGATGGGAGAGAGGCAGGAGGGGGGAGACGGGGATTGTTACGGGCTAGATTGTAACTGTACCATCTGCCCCAGCAAATCCCCATGGTCTCCCTGCTCCCCCTGGCTCTGGGGGAGGAGGAATTACTTCACCCCTTGGTTCAAGCAGCTCCTGCCCTCCATGTGCCCACCAGCGACTCTAGCCAAGAAGGAAGGGGGAGGAGCCAGCGGCCAGTCCCCTCCCCTCCCTGCCCTCCAGCCCCACCCCCCAGGTGCTTGTAGCAGAGCGTGAAAGGCATCACAAGGATCGGAGCAGGGGCGTAAGGGAGAATCGAGCTCCCTGTGATTCTCCTGCATGGCCGAGGAGGGCACTGCCAGTCTGGCTCCGTGAGATGACGAGGCACGTCTCAGTGAGCGTACCGCACACGGGGACAGCAACCCCCAGTGCAACCCCCGTCCCTCCCGCATGCTGGTTCCCAGTCACTTGGGGTTGCCCAGAGCAGCCCCCTGGACAGACAGTGGCATGGGCAGCATTCTACAAAGCCGGTAGGGCAGCCTGCCGCAGTGGGTCTGGAGCCCAGCTTGGCCATGAGCTCTTGCCGTCTGGGCAGCCACATGCAGGCCCTGAGCGAACATGGGCTCTGGGAATGGCTTTCGGTGGGGCGGCCGCACGAGAACCCAGGTGTGAAGAGCAGAGTGGGGCCAGACAGAGCGAAATGCTGCCCAGCCCCAGGCGTGGCCGGGGCGGAGGGGACGTGTTGAACGGAGTCCCAAGCAGGCAGGGCCCCGCGCCCCACTCAGCTGCTTTGGGAAACGTGTGACTCTGCCCCAGACATTCACCACCGCATTACGGACGACGGGGAGCGGCCTCCCGCAGCTCACGGCCGCCTCCTTTGGAAGGTTGGGAAGGGCGAAGGATCCCGACTTCTCCCCATGGGAGACGCAGACCGGCCCGGGGGATCAGGCCACCAGGGAAAATGGGGACGTGAGACACCCACCCCGCAGCTCCTGCCTACAGGGAAAGGCCGTTTACCGCTGAGTAGACCCCAAAGCAACACCTCTCGCCCTTTCCAAGTCCACACCTTCCCCAACTTTTTTATTCCGTGAAAATCTCAAGATTTCAACCCAATATGGGACAAAAGAAAAAATGTGGTTAAAATACGGCAAGTTCTTGCAGGACAGAAATTCCAGTGTTTGCGCCGCTCCGCAAACTGGTATGAGCTGCCCCTCCCCCCCACCAATCTATCTCACAAGTTAGTGTGAGCTGCCCCTCCCCCCCACCAATCTATCTCACTAATTAGTGGGCGGTCCCTCCCCCCCCCACCAGCCCCCGATCGGAA